GCCTTGCCACAGCTGGATGGTGTGAAAACCTGCATCTCAGTTAGAACAGGCCCGGGAGTGGGTGACAGCAGGGGGTCCTGGGAATTCCCCCAAAGGGCCCCTGCGACTCCAGCCTGGGGTGCCCTGAGGACCGCGGCCATCGCTCAGGCTCTGACACCATGCCTGTGGTCCCCAGAGGATGCTCAGCGTGGCACAGAGGCACACACGCCCGTCCCTCAGGCTCCCACATTGAAGGACATTTGGAAACCTGCATCCACACTTGCGAGTTCTGAAGAGAAGCACAGACGACACACGGAGCCTCCAGGGAGGCCCTCTGGACCCGTCTGGCAGCCCCTCTGGACAGGCAGAGGGAGACCTCAGCGTCCCTGTCCTCTCAGGCTCAGCCCTGCACCCTGCGTCCAGCAGCCGCTGCCCAGACCCTGCTCCTGGGGATGTCCTCTGGCTGTGGGGGCGGCTCACAGACACCGCCCAGCCTCGTCTGGAGGCCTCTTGTCCTGCTTGCCGTTGCCCACCACCAGCCCTGACCATTTAAGATCAAGCTCTGGAGAGTCTGGATGTCCCCACGCAGCCCCTCCTAGCAGGTCACCTCGACGCTGGGACACTCCCACCAGGGCATTCAGGGCTGTCCTCGGGAGCTGCCTTTCCAGTTCCAGTGGGGGCCAGTCTACCCCACGAGGACAGGACTGGACGTATGGCCAAGCGCACCTGAGCCCCCAGGGCCGCCGGCCGGTCACCTGCCCTGCCCCAGGGCAGGAACGCCTGCTGGTCACCGGGAGCCCAGACCTCTGCGTGAGGACACAGAGTGGGGGCACCTGCTCCAGTGGTTCTGCCCACACGTGGGCCTGCACACGCGTGTGCCTCGTGTGGCTGGGAGTGCGTGCTCACGCTGCGTCTCAGGGTCCCGGGCACGGGCTGTGCTGCAGGTGCTCACGCTTGGTCCCTGACAGCCATGGTGGGGGTCTTCAGGGCAGCGGGGACACCAGGGAGTGCTCCTGAGGTGGGTGACCAGCCAGGAGACTCCTGGGAGCCCCGAGACAGCACACACAGGGCCTGGGGAACACCCGAGGGACGGGCCAAGCCATGAGACTCCCATGCAGGAGGCGGCCATCGTCCCTGCCCAACGCTGCAGAAGAGCTGTGGCCAGGCCCGTGCTCAGAGGCCAGCCATCCAGGTCCAGAACCCAGGTCAGGCAGAGAGACAAGGGCAGACAGGCAGGAGCACCGGAGAGCACCCCTGAGAGGGCAGAGACAGCGCCTGAGGGGCCAGCCAGGAGTGTGGGGCGGGCAGCAGCCACCTGACTGACGCAGTGGCCACAGCTCAGCAGGAACTCGCCTGCCTCTGTGCTCAGGCCTAGCAGGCAGAGCTCCCCAGGGAACCACCTGGGGAACCACCAGCAGGGCGCACCTGTGGAGCAGGGGAACCACCAGCAGGGGGCACACCTGTGCAATGGGGGAACCACTATCAGGGCGCACCTGTGGAGCAGGGGAACTACCAGTAGGGTGCACCTGTGGATCAGGGGAACCACCAGCAGGGCGCACCTGTGGAGCAGGGGAACCAGCAGCAGGGCGCACCTGTGGAGCAGGGGAACCACCAGCAGGGGGCGCACCTGTGCAATAGGAGAATCACCAGTAGGGCGCACACCTGTGGAGCAGGGGAACCACCAGCAGGGTGCACACCTGTGCAATAGGGGAACCACCAGTAGGGCGCACACCTGTGGAGCAGGGGAACCACCAGCAGGGAGAACACCTTGCAATGGGGGAACCACTATCAGGGTGCACCTGTGGAGCAGGGGAACCACCAGCAGGGGGCGCACCTGTGCAATAGGGGAACCACCAGTAGGGCGCACACCTGTGGAGCAGAGGAACCACCAGCAGGGGGAACACCTGTGCAATGAGGGAACCACTATCAAGGTGCACCTGTGGAGCAGGGCAACCACCAGCAGGGGGCGCACCTGTGCAATAGGGGAACAACCAGTAGGGTGCACACCTGTGGAGCTGGGGAGCCACCAGCAGGAGGCACCTGTGCAATGGGGAAACCACTATCAGGGCACACACCTGTGGAGCAAGGGAACCAGTAGCAGGGCAAGCACTTGTGGAGCAGGAGGACCACTAGGGGAACCACCAGCAGCTCGCAGGCCTATGCAGCAGGGGAACCACCAGCAGGGTGTGTGCCTGTGGAGCAGGGGAACCACCATCAGGGGGCACCTGTGGAGCAGGGGAACCACCAGCAGAGCACACACCTGTGGATCAGGGGAACCACCATCAGGGGGCACCTGTGGAGCAGGGGAGCCACCAGCAGGGGGCGCCTGTGGAGCAGGGGAACCACCAGCAGGGGGCACACCTGTGCAATGGGGGAACCACTATCAGGGCGCACCTGTGGAGCAGGGGAGCCACCAGCAGGGGGCGCCTGTGAATCAGGGAAATCACCAGCAGGGGGCGCCTGTGGAGCAGGGGAGCCACCAGCAGGGGGCGCCTGTGGAGCAGGG